TAAAAAGTAAAAATTTGTGAAAAAATATTTTAAAAAATTAATAATTACATAAAAATATTAAAAAAAATGTACTGAATTCTATTTTTTTTTTATATTTTTGGTATTTAGTGAATTTTTAAAAGATTTTTTTTACTTTTTAGGTGTATTTATGTTAGGTGTGTCTAAAAAGTAAAAAAAAATTCCTTAAAATATTAAAAAAAAATCAGTAAAAATAAAAAAAATACGGAAAATAAGAAAGTAGAATTTTTTGAAAAGTGTTTTTTGAAAAGTGAAAACAAGCAAGGTTTATTTAGACTCATTTTTTAAATTTAATCATATGACTCTCTATCATATTTTTTTTGAAATTAATTACTCTAATAATTTCTTTTACATTACTGTGTTTACAAACTAACTATAAAAAATAGATTTGTATATTATCATTTTTCATTTTTGTTAATACAAATAATATTTTTAATTGATTAGAAAAAATTATAAGAAAATACCAAGAGTCTGAATCTAGTAACAAAATTATAATTAAGTGAAATGATGACTTATCTTAGTGTAAATTGAAAATTTTCATTTATCAAAAACACTACATAAATAATATCAGATAATATTTTTAAATTGTTTGATAATTTTCTCAATAAACCATTAAAATATTGCCTCTTATTTTTTTGAGAAAATATAATAATAAACCTATTTACACATCCGAACAAGCATTCATGGGATGTGAGGCCTACACGTGACGGACGGGTAAGTGAGTATAATATTTTTCTTAGATGAAAAATTCTATATTATCAATGTATTATATAATAATAAAATTTTAAAAATATTACTGACGAGTGTCTGGGCCACTAGAAAAAGATAGAAGAATACTTTTTATTATCTACTTTTAAGATAATTTTCACTCTAATTCTAATACTAAATATAACGATAGTCTGAATTTTCATAGTTCGAATAGCTCGAATGTCTTAAAATAATATCGTTTTATCCCTCAAAACAACGTCATTTAGAGACATTCGGACTACACAAATTCGAATTACCAAATATTTTTCTACTAAATAATGTCCCAAAAACACTTTTGTGTAATAATCAATTAATAATTATTAATAGTTGGGAAATTATCATTCAGGAGGTATTTTGAACAAATATTACATATTGATGATAGTTTATAATTTTAATTATTAATATTTATTACTTTTTTATAAATATTTTTTCTGACTACCATGTCTGTAATTCCTCCCTTATTCTATTTGCAAATATTAAATTGTGATGAATTGTACCTAAAATCCAAACTTTGGATCTCATTTTGAAATTTTGGGTTTTGTTGAAAAAGAAAGGTATCTTATTTTTCAATAAATGACAAGACGGTGTGGAATATTATCTATGGTGGGACCTATGTATGTTATACATTACATTTGCCCATGCCAATTTCTTACACTGACCAGTATTTATTTTGGTGATATATCATATGTTTTGAGATTTTATTTTTATTGATTTTGAAAAGACTAAATAAATTCACAACCTAAATATATAGTTTATTCCTAATGCTACCTCTTACATAAATTTAACCCAATTTATGAGAGATGAGAGTTAAAAATTCATCATATAACATCTAAATGATTGAGTCCGACTCTCTTCCAATCCTAATAAAATTGGAGATTTTTCAATACTATCTAAAAATGCACAACATGGTTACTGATACATCTTATAATCGTGATTTTACTAATCAACCAACCCTTTTTTTGAACCTAACTTAACCAATCAAACCCACAATTTTGTCATTGGCACCCGCCTACAATATATTATCCTTGTTGCAACTTCTGCCACGAGAAAAATCTTGAGTCTGATTACAAACCCATCATTTTTTACCGCTCTAATATTACTCAAATCTTGAAGAACCAACCATGCGTAGTAAATGATTCAAAACTCAAAAATAACAATAAAATCTGACTTCGTCCTCAACTTTCACTGTTTATATACTTGTATGTATGTCTAAACAAGCAAAAACCCATCAACAATGTTAGAGTTTGCAAACCCCAAATTGAAATGTAGTATGGTGAAATTCATGATTTCATCTTGCCTAGATGTCCTAGAGAGTGGACAAGTCTTCTGATCATGGCCTATCCAATTGCTCTGCTCATCTCCAATGGAAAATGTTCTCGTTCTTCATCAACCACCTAAACTCTTCTCCAACTATGAACTCGTAAATGCGAAGATTTCAGCCTGCAGGACATTGCAACGACCATGACGCTGAGTTTGCAGTTGGTGGGTTAGATTGAAAACAGAAGGGGTTACTTCATCTGGTCAAATCTTGATCGTTGGATGTGTGTAGAATTATTAGATGAATTCTTCGTAAAATTGAAGAGGAGCCCAACTCGAAATGATTGAAGTTGTGGATGCTTTTAAAGTTATTGCTACTAAAAAAAATTTCTGCACTATATTTTTGCAGCTGTTGGATATCCTGTGCCTGGTCCTATGTCAAGTGAAGCGCCTGGTAATTCGTCAACCAAACCTTCCATCTTTCTCTCACCATTTTTTCAAAAAACAACTTCATTCTATGAAGTAGTGAAGTGTGCCCATAACTTAATGAAATTGGCTTTTCTCTCAGAGAGAGGCCCGATTCTGTCTAGTTGGGCTCATTCTGTCACAAGTCTCACACTAATGATTCAAGTTATTAACCTTGTAAGCCCCTATGTGTAGATCATCTATAAAATGTCATAGTGATCCCGAAACATGTAGACAATTCCAATCATATCCAGCACATCATAAGCTAGTTTGTCTTGTTTTTTTTTTTTCTTCTTCTTTGCTATTATTTTCCTTTCATTTTTGTTTTGTGTATGTGTGTGTGTTTTACTTTCCTTGCTTTTTTCACTACATTGGTTTTATTTTGTTGTTGTTTTATTTTTATTTTTTCTTCCTGTCATTCCAACCTTATGCCCCTAACAAAATTACAGGAGCTATGTCGCCGAGCCCTGCAGCATCTGGAAACAGTGGCAATGCAGCTTCATCAAGCATTGCAGCTTCTCAGTTATCCATCCTTGTTGGCTTAGCAATTGCATTTCTCACAACACTCTTCTTCTGATTTTAATTTTTGGAGTTTTTTTTTTTTTTTTTTTTTTTTAACTTTATATTTGTTTTGATTTCTCCATTTATCTGGGGAGGGGGTATTGTAACCAGATATTGAATGGGTATGACTTAGTTACACCAATAAACATGTAGCTTTTTTTAAAATTATTTTTTCATGATTTTCTCTCTCATGGAGAAATCAACCATTGTTTTGAAGCATGAACCATTTGCTAGCATTGTCCTCACAATTTCAAATTCTATATATACATATTTATTTATCCCATGTGAACATCTACCTCATTCGGATTCAGGGTAATTGAGGTTCTCACCGGTTGAGTCTGAAAAATGTTGAAGTTCCTCTATTGTACCAAAAACATCAAAACGCATTATCCAAAAAACTAATAATATTAAAAGGCATGCCTTATGTTTAGATAGTTCATACCATAGTGTTTTGACCAAAGATTTCAATGCTTCCGTGTTCTAATGGGCTTCTAGGCCAGCGGTTATCATCCGCAGGCCAGATACGAGCAGCACTCGTAGCGATTCTGTTTAACTTGTATGTTTACAAGTTGTTACCCCTTGCAATTACCACTTGTCTGCTCTCCATTCCCACCCTTAGGAACAGGCCATGTAAAAAAATAGATGTATTATTGATTGTTGTTGATTGATGTGTTTATTCTGTTTACAATGATTCATATATAGAAGAGAAGAAGGTAGTAGGTGAAGGGGTAGTGGAGGTGGTAGGTGGAGTGAGTGTTAGTGGAGGTGGTAGGTGGAGTGGGTTATGGTAAATTCTAACAGCCCCCCGCAAACTCAAGGAGGATAGAAACTAACCAACTTGAGTTTGAAGAGAGGAACAAAACAAGAAAATACATAAAAATAAAAAAGGATAGGAGACACTGTATGGTCGTGGCAGACCATTGGTGAAGACACTGAATGGTGGTGTCATAACGTTGTAGAGGACACTGTATGGGGGTGTCATAACGTTGTAGAGGACACTGTATGAGGGTGTCATAACGTTGTAGAGGACACTGTATGAGGGTGTCATAACGTTGTAGAGGACACTGTATGAGGGTGTGACACTGTATGGGGGTGTCATAACGGTGTAGAGGACACTGTATGGTGGTGTCATAACGTTGTAGAGGACACTGTATGGTGGTGTCATAACGTTGTAGAGGACACTGTACCGGAATCAAATGGGGTCATGTCGGACCGTTGTAGATGCTAACCGGAATCAAATGTCGGGACAGTTTATGGGGTCATGTCGGACCGTTGAAAATGCTAACCGGAATCAATGTCGGGACAGTTTATGGGGTCATGGCGGACCGTTGAAAATGCTAATCGGAATCAATGTCGGGACAGTTTATGGGGTCATGTCGGACCGTTGTTGAAAGGTGCACCCTCAAAAGGTGTGCCCAATTTTGTCAAAGGCGTGCATCAAAAGGCGTGCCCCAATTCATCAAAAAGGTGTGCCGGACATGATGGCGAGGGCACGTGGGCGCCTTTGGCTTGCACGCCCGTAGTTGTCGCTGGTGGGTAAGAAGGGCGCGATGCGCGTGGCTGCCCTCGGCTTATAAGACGGAGGCTGAGGCCTGAGGCAAAAAATACATGCGAGAAGCATATTCTGAGAGAGATTCTGTAACACTCCTTTTTCCTGAGAGAGATTTCTGAGAGAGATACTGTGTAACACTTCTGTTGCCTAGAAAATGGCTTCATCGTCTTCCCAAGCGGGCTGCTCAGGACGGAGGCAAGAAAGAAAAAACCGACGACAGAGTAGAGAAGGGGATAAGGAAAAAATCCCGCTTGGTGGGTGTGGTTGTTTTGTTTTTGTTTTTTTTTTTTTTTTTTTTTTTTGGTGTTGTGTGAAGAACTGGTGGATCAGGGTTTGATCCCTAAGATAAATAAAACTAAGTTGTGTGCAAATCTGGTATAAATTTGGTTTGTGTTTTTTTTTTTTTTTTTTTGTTTTAATATATAGATATTATAGGAAAACGAAAATGATAAAGACGGGGATAAGAAGAAAAAAATAAAGAAGTTGGCCAAGGCTGAGGGAGCATGCCATGGTGAAAGTGGATTTTTTTTTTTTTTTTTTTTTACAAAAAAAGAAGAAGATAAAATAAATAAATAAAATGGATTTAGTGGGATGAATGGTGTGGTGTGAAAGTGGTGTGGTTTGAATAATAATAAAAAATAAAATGGGTCTCTTAGGCATGTGCGTGGGTGTTGGGAATGTGGAGGTAAATAATAAAACATATATAGATAGAAATAAAAAAAAAAATGGAAAGGGAAGTGGGAACACACAAAATAAATATATATATATATATATATTTGGAAAAGAAAGTTGAAGTGGGGTGCAAAAAGAGGAAGGAAAGGGTTGAAAAGTGGACAAAGAGGTGCATGTCCTTTGAAGTGGAGAGAGGAAGTGGGTTGATTAAAAACAATGGTGGGTTTTGCGGAGAGAGAGATGTAAACCGAAGGGAGAGAGAGATCAGTACCCCTCCCTCCCTGTGGTATGTTTGTGGTTCTATATCAGGAGTGAGTGAAGACGGCGGTGGTGGTCGATTCGGGGTTTGCCTCTTTGATTTGCTTACTTGATCCTCTACTACACATCTGCTGCGAATTCATAACCCGCAGTCAATCCAGGAAGACAGGTGCTTGGATGCGATGGAAGAGTTGGCAGTTCCAGGACTGTTAACGGCTTCAAGGGCTCAATCTTAGTTTCAGTTGATGGCTGGGAAAGAGAGATGCTTGAAATGATGTGTGGGACAAAAGTGGACCCAGGATGACGACAAGAGATAGTGGCCAGATATAATTGTGGCGATGGGTGCTGTGCGCGGATGTATGCGCTGGA